GGAGAAGCAGGCTCCCAAGGAGCAGAGAGCCCGATGCGGGACTCGATCCCAGGACCCTGGGATCATGACCTGAGCCAAAGGCAGACGCTTAACCATCTGAGCCATCTAGGCGCCCTTAAAATGCCTTTCTTAAGAGGAAACTTTGTGGGAACACCTTTCACCTGAAATTTCACTTTATTTATTTATTTTTTAAATACGACGACTACTTCCAAAATAACCTGGCTTCTCTAAGACAGTTTACACATTGTGGGAGAAGTGGAGGAAGCCTATATTGGTAAAGTATACCGTTTTCATCTTTAACGTCTCCATAGGTTCCCATTTTGGTGTCTATTAAATTCATTTCCTTTCTTTAAATAAAAGTTTTGCTTTTCCTTTTATAATTCCTTCCCCTACAGGAAATCAACGGCATGTCTTCTCTGTAAACAACGGCTTGTCTTCTCTTTCACTCCCTGAAGTGGCACTGTATTATATAGACTACTTTAAAGCGATTTGAAAGCGTTTGAGTGGATAGCACAATGAATAGCAGAGCAGGTTCCTTTTTATGGAACCTCAGACAATTCAGTACTTTAGTTCCAACAAGCAGAACTATGAGGCTGTATCCTTTGGGATTTTCCAGACTGAAAATTGTTTATTCAAACTGGAACCCAAGAAACCTTCTCTTAAGTGACTTTGGTAATGGAGTGCAGTCATCTATTAGATATCTATTTCAGGATGCCTTAATTTTTAAATCAGGAGATAATTTTCAAACAAAGGGCATAGGCACTGAAACAGTCCTTACAGTCGATAGACTGCTTTGTCCTAGAAGACTGTCCTTTGATTCAAAACACTCTCTTGACCCCGATGATGGATTGAAGAAGATAACATTTCATCATAAGGCCTCCAATGAAGATGTGCTCACCAAAGAAACTAAACCAACCCCTGTCAACTATAAAAAACTGTCTCAGGAGTGTAGTTCTCTGAGTGATGTGTTAGATAGATTTTCAGAAGGACCTATATTTCCCGGTAGTAACTATTTTTCAGCAATGTGGATAATTGCCAAAAGGATGTCTGATGACCAGAAGCGTGTTGAAAAACAACTGATGTTTAACCACCCTGCATTTAACCAGCTGTGTGAACAAGTGATGAGAGAATCCAAGATCATGCACTATGACCACCTGCTGTTCAGTCTTCATGCTATGGTGAAGCTTGGAATTCCTCAGAACACTCTGCTGGTACAGACTTTGCTGAGGGTGGTCCAGGTAAAATCAAAAGGAGACTTAAATATTTCACACAGTTTGGCATATCTTGAAAGAATGAGGGGAAATAGAGATGTATCCTCCTTGGAAGAGATTATCAGTGGAATAGGTAGTTTATATTCATTTCTGCATATACATGATTTAGAGATCTTAAGTTAACCAGGTCTTGCCTTTTGCTGTGGGAATTTATGAAAGCTTGCACCATTTTTCTTTGCCAGAGATGACTAATAGTGAGTAATAAACTAAAATGAGGAGAGATATGAAATATACAAGGAAAGGTTGGTTAGTTGAAGGTAAGAGAGAAGGGAAGAGGGGAGAACTAGTATTTATTGAGTACCTACACTTTTTACTTATTTAATCCTCTCATTAGCCCTGCAAGATGAGGAAACAGATTTAGTGATGTTAAACAACTTAGCTAAAGTCAAACAGCTAGTGGATTCATTTATTCATACTGTAAACATTTATTTCGTGTCAGTTATGTATCAGTTACTACACTTGTCACTAGAGAGATATAGGAGATGTGATTCTTGTCCTTATAATGTAAAGGGGAAGACAGACACTTGTAGGCAATTGCAAAAATAACCAACATTCATTTAATAAGTCATATATTTACTACATTATAGGCACTGAGCTGAGCCCAAGGGAATATAATTATGAACAGAATAATGGCCACAGGGAGCTTTCAGTGCAGTGAAAGAAAAATTTAGTCTTGTAAGAGTGTATAACAGACTTCTAACTTAGGAGAAGGCCTTCATGATGGGAAGAGGAGACGGGAGGAGGATACAGGATTAGTGTTTGAGGCAGAGATATATGTATGTAGTTTGAAAACACAATTGCCTCATGTAATCATCAGTGTAGCCTTTTAAAACAGATACTACTTTCATTTTACTAATGATTAGGAAATTCAGGCGTAGGTTAAATAACCTGCTCAAGATTACCTTTCTGTTAACATCACTATTTATAGGTCTTGATTTGCTGGATGAATTAACAAACACCTAGTTCATGGTAGAACAAGGATTCAAGCTCAGTAGGAGATGATATCTAAGTTGAATCCAAGGAATGAGCAGTAGTTTGTGAGTGAGAGATCGATTGTGAAGGGGATAGTATTTGAAGAAGAGGATTGGCTGTTCATCCAGAAGAGAAGTTTAGCAAGTTTGGGGAACTAAAGTAGTTCAGTAGTGCTGAAGTATAGACTGCTGGGGTTGTGTGTTTGAGGGAATAGGGAGGAAATTATGTAATTGTGGCCGGGGAGGAGGGGTTATGGGTGTAGGGGTGAGATCTGAGTCTGGAAACGGGAGGGTGGGTCTTAAATTATAAAGAGCCTTTTATGCCTCTGTAAGGATTTTGGAGTTATCGTATAGGCATTGGGGATCCATTGAAATATTTTAAGCAAAGTGTCAACATGTTCAACTTTATATTTTAGATCACTGTATGAGTGGAAAATGGACTGGAGGAAGAGTGAAATTGGGTAGAAGAGCCACTTTTAGTTTCAGACAAGGGAATCAGTGTCCTGTTTGATCTCACTGAAGCACCAGATATGATGATGAAATGATAGCGCATTGACGTAATTATTTACCTTTTAAGGGTGGACATCTCAGACTTCTAAACTCAGTGATCAGAATTAAATAATTTTTAAATTTCGAGGATGATCTCACATATAATCCTATTATAGAATTAAGTTATTAAGCATATGAGTTTTTAACTTCTTATGTTACTGTGATTTCCATATGTCCTTCATTAAGAATGAATTTTTGCTTGTGTGTATGTGTGTTGAAGCCACACAGTATATCCATGTTTATTTGGTAGACTGTATTCCCTATATAGTTATTTAAAAATAATTATGATAAGTCACTACCTGGTTAGTAATGCTTTTACTAGAGTTTGGACGGGTATGCACATCAGCATAGCTTCTGCATTGGTGAGGTATGAGCAGTGGATATTTGGAGTCAGAATATATGTATGTATGATTGTGTCTCCCTGACCTGTTGGAATGTTGTAAAGACATTTTAGCTAGAGATGAAAGGTCAATATGTCATTAGTGAATTTGCCCTTCAGCCAAATGGTCTTTCCTTTCACAGCAGATATTGATGGAATGGTGTAAATCGCTATGGAAACCCTCCCATGGGAATGGGACCTTTCTTTTTCTTTTCAGCCTTATCTATTTCTTCTTAGTACCTGGTGTTCTCACCTGAGACTTCATGCCTTGTTTGTCATGCCATTTTAGCAAAAAAGCATACCTCTTTCAGCCTAAGTTTTCCCACCTGTGATGACAACTACTCTTGTGAGTTGTATGAATTAGTTGTGATTAAACTGTAGAGCCCTAAGTAAGCTGTGTTGTTTCTCTTAACTTTCTGAATTATGCCCACTGCCATTTCTAGAATCTAGATTAGTGCCTTAACCCAGGAGATCTGAAAGAAGGATCTGAGGCCAGGGGATCCCCTTGAGACCCAGATAGTGGTGGTAAAATGGGATAGCAGATGTGGATCAGAAAACTCACAACTGAAGTTATAGTTTGATACCAGGAAAGGATATAGAGAAATTATAAGAGGACAGCTGTCTGAAGTTCTTTAGGGATGGACAAATTGCCCCATGTACCTCTGTAGCTCTTATATTACTACACTTGTCTTCATGCTGAACTTGAGTCCTAAGAAGAAGTAAAAATAATGTTTGATAAAAGTTATTTCAGAAGCAGAGGAATACAATCAATACCAAATGGGTTTTCAATGGTAATGGTAAATGTAAAAAAAGTGTTGATACATAAAAGTGTGTATTGGTTATTTGGAAAATTCATTACATGTGACATTTTATTTCTCAAAGATGTTTATTGTGGGCTATGAATTATTGGTTTGATGCTTAATCATTTAATTGAAAGCTTCAGTTCAGTGCTTTTGCTTAGGTGAGGTAGTCTACTATGGGCTTATCATCTGCAGTGTTTTTGTAATTATTTCAATAGGAACGTATCAATGAGTGTGATGAGAAATGTCTTTCAGTTTTGTCAACTCTTTTAGAGGCAATGGAGCCATGCAAGAATGTGGATGTTCTTCGAGCAGGGTTGCGGTAAGTACTCTCTTCATGTGGCATTCTCTATTCCGTTTATATCTCGAATCAAAAACCCAAATGAAAACTGACTTGCCTTATTTGGGTGGGGAGAGACTTTGTTGGTAGTTACAGTCCTTAATACCTTATTAAACTTAAAATCCTGATTCTGGATCAAGTAAAGCTAGAAATAATGCTTCTCTTAGGGTCCATTATAAAAACTGTGTGGGTAACATTGAATTCTAAATTGATCTTATAAACCTAGTACTGATGTGGGCTGGGAGTGCACTGACATGTACTTGGCTCATAACGGTTATTTGGGCACTGTGTGGAGGTTACATGATGCTCACCTGGCCCAAAAAAGAGCTTGAGTTTTATAATTTATAAAATTGATGCAACTGATCTAATGTCATAGGTCAGTGAGAATAATACTTAATTTCCTTTTTCATTGACTATGCAATGGGATATCTTACTATAATCTCCTGATGTGATTTGTTTGTTCATGGTAACAGAATAATGTGAGAGGAAATAGTGCTAGATTGGTCCTCGATCTTTAACTACTTACACTCCCTTGGGCAGGTAGATTGTTTCTGTAGGCTTCATCTTCCTTGCCTAGAAGTAGGAGCTGGACCAAATGACTTTTAAAATAATTCTTCTGGTTTTCAGATTCTAGGAATGTGGTATTTATTGTGTCTAATTGCAGGATACTAGTTGATCAGCAAGTCTGGAAAATAGAGCATGTCTTTACATTACAAGCTGTGATAAGATGTGTTGGAAAAGATGCACCGATTGCTCTTAAAAGGAAACTGGAGGTAAACACATTTTGAATTTTCTCAAGTGGGTAAGATTTGAAAAAAAAATTTCTTATGACCTGCTCTCAGTTCCTAAAGTCAGTTTTTTAGGAAGACATCATTGTGCTTTTAGGTTCAGTTTTGCTAAAGTGAAGTAATAGAAGTTGATTTATATTTGTTTGTATATATAAATATATATATATTTTTAAAGATTTATTTATTTATTTGA